CACCACCCCCCCCCATCCCCCACCCCCAAAAAAAATTTTAAGTTTGTTTTTAAAAAATGTTTTCAATTTCAAAAATTATTTTCTACTCTAGTAAAAATAAAAGATATTTCTCAAAAATATTTTTTCATTCATAAATTAAACACTAAAAATCTTTTTCGGAAAATATTTTCTACTCACCAACCAAACATGAGAAAATAAGTCAAAAATCAACTTGTTTTCCAGGAAAACATTTTCTAGGAAAACATTTTCCATGGAAAACATTTTCCTTCATACCAAACACACCCTAAGTCAGTTCCGATTTTCTTGTTCATGTTTCTCTTGCACTCTACATATCATTAGCTGTCGTGGTTGTTCAAACGTCAATCGTGGTTGTTGAAAGACGAACCAAAAAGCATATGATGGCGATTATCAACAAGCTAATGTAGTTGTCTTGTGTATTTGTCTCCGTAGCGTTTGTTGCTCTGTCATATATCGTTTATATGTAAAGAGGAAAGATGGATGGCAAGTGCAGTAACTTTTATGGGAACTTTTATCATGGTCGCAGCACTAGGGGCACTGTGTTATTGGGTAGCTATGCATCGGATTGAGTCTTCGAATTTGAGAAGTTAGAGGAAATTAGCTTGGAGTAGCAACATGTTATCACGGTCCGTATCAATCATGTTAGAATCAGAGATTCCTGAAAATTAGTATAAGAACTATATGCTATATAGCTCTAGTTCTTAGCCAATGTACAGTCTTGTGTTATAAAAAATGATCTTTGCACTTCAAGATTCAATGCAATAGCTCTAGTTTTTGTGTAGTATATGAGCAAGATAATTGAAGTGTAAGATTTTAGAATTATGAACATTTTACTAAGTGAAATACCGTTTAGTGAGCAAGCTAAGTATAATGACAGGCTGGTGTACAAAATATCCCGCGTTAGCAGGGTCCTGGGAAAAGCCGCATCGCTTTCCAAGGGATGTGATGTGTAAAATTTTATGCTATACTAGAATTTTGAGAATATTTATGTTATATTCAGAAAATTGGTTTTCAACTTTGTAACTCTGTCCTCTTGTTCATTCACTCATTCACTCTACTCCGTTTCAATTCACGTGGCATAGTTTGAGTTGGCACGAAGTTTATAAAGAGATGAACATTTTTGAAACTTATGACATAAAACATGTCATAACATTTTGTGTAACTATAAGATTTTTGAAACTTGTGACCATGCATGCAGTTGTAAATGTTAATCCTTTCCAAATTTAGAAGGTTGTCATTCTTTTTGAAAAAAGTAACTCACGTAAATTGAAATAAAGGGATTAAAATGCATAGTAGAATTATAAGCATTTTACAAAAATTAGGAATGTTGCATAAATCACCAAAAATTGAATTACCTAGTCGAGCTGGGAAATTCGGTAATTTGGTATTTGAAAGTAAAATATAAGAAATATAATAATCGATTTTGTTAGTCCATACAAGACATTAATGTCATTCGGTGGTCGTTTAGTACGTGAGACCAGAACAATGATCTCACAAGTCGAAAATCAGAACAATGATCTCGAAAGTCGAAAGAAAATTTGAAATTAACTTTATCCATATTTGGTTACAATATTAATTAGTCCCAACATTATTTTATCCCACAAATTGTACAAAAATAGTGGAATAGTAATCCCATAGGGAAGACGCGATAAACTAATAATCTCAAAGTGTATTCTTGTCTATCCCATTCCACATACTAAACAACCATAGTGAATAAAGGCCATTACCAATAATGTGACATAGGCCCATCAGTAACAACTAACAAGCCCATATATCAAAACTATACACTAAAAAACACATAGCAAATTGAAGATTTAGGGTAAAATTGCTCAACATTTTTTTCAAGAAGATTGAATAACAATTCTAATCGCACCATTAAGGTTTGTATTCTATCGTTACTTTCTTCTTAATTAATTTAGCTCTTCAATTCTTCATGTTTTTGATGATTTGAAATTTTTTCGATTGTTTATTACCAGATTTCACAAAATTACTTTAATTATCTCTAGAAGAAATTTATGCAAGTATTTGAAGACCTATATTTCTCTTCTTCTTCTTTTCACTAGTAAAAAAACAGTGATTACCGACCTAAAAATTATCGACCTCAAATGGAAGTCGGTAATTTCCGACCTCCGAAGGTCGGTATTGTTAAGAAGAATAAAAACTTAAAAAAACTTTAGAAAATCGACTACAAGGAGTCGGTTTTTATGCAAAATAAAGCGAAAAAACTAAATACCGACCTAAGGAGGTCGGAATTTTTCTCGGAAAAAAATGAATTACAATAAAAACTGACCTCTTGATGTCGGTATTAAATAAATAAATAAATAACAATATTTTATTTTTTTCTCAATTAAATATAAAAAATAAAATTGAGAAATATTTTGAATTAATTTTATTTAAATCGTCTTCCAGAGGACGGTTTTGTGTAAAATAAAAAACAAAAAAAATTATAATACCGACATTCAGAAGTTGGTAAAATTAAATAGTATGTAATTAAATTAATTTTCATTAAAATATTTATATAGTGACTTCCAGAAAATTAATATTTTCAATTAACTTTAAATAAATCGTCCTCCGAATGACGGTTTTATTTTTGTTAAAAAATAAATTAATATAAAATACCGACCTCATGAGGTCGATATTTTTTATTTGATCCAATTACTTTTTAATAAAAGCGACATCTGGAGGTCGGTTTGTTTAAAATATTCCTATTAATCATAATTTTTGCTATTGTGCATAATACTAAAATTTTTCATTTTTACACTACAATTAATTGTTTCAAAAAAGTGTAACAATTTTGTATACTTTTATAAATAAAAAGTTAGAATTCGTGGAATAAACAAAAAAAACATCAATAATCCATATTTAGAGTAATGAAACTACATTGATATGAATTAGGAGATAATTATACTTATATTTCTAGAGTAATGTACAAATTTTATCGGTCTGTCGTCAAATCACTAACTTAATATCTCATGTAATGATGTAGAGGTGAAGAGCGTAAAAATGTCATGATAACAATTAATTATAAATTTTATATTTATATAATTAATTATTTAATTATTTGTATGTATATAACCTTTAATGTCTTATCTGGTTTTATGAAATAGACAATAGAACATCGTAAATTACTTTACAAAGCAAGTTCTATCAAGATTATTACGTTCGATCTTGAATGGATGTCAAGTGTAGTGATCATATCGTAGGCAATGACATGTAAGTATAATTCATCGGAGTATGAAATACGTTGATTAATTATATACTCCTCGAGTAGTTTAACAAATCAAGTCATATATATTAGTGGTTCAGATATGAATACATTATCAATTAAAGAAATATCAATGATCAATTCAAGGAGATTTATATATTAAATTTGATATTGATAAACTTCTGTTGATCGATAAAATAAAATTTATATAATTAGGAGGCATATAATTTAAATTTATAAAATTAAATTGATCGATAAAATTAAACTTCTGTTGATGTGTAGTTAAATTAAATTTATATATACAGTTAATAAAATTGACCTCAATAGATGAGTTTATATTAAAATAAATTAATAAATACCGATCTTAAATAAATTAATAATTTATTTAAATAATATCGACTTCACAATTGATATTTATTAATATTTTTAAATATAAATAATTATTTTAAAAGATACCGACCGTGGTCGGTAAATTAACACTTCTTTTACCGACCCTAAGTCATTTTTTTCTCCCCAAACCTCTCTCACGCCCGACCCAACCCAATCCCGACCGGCGCTGCAGCAGCAGGTCGCGCCACCATTCCTGAACGGCGCGCCGCCTCGACCAACAGCAACAGCAACAGGTCGCAGCAGCAGCGCAGATCGGCGGCAGCTGCAATCTCCGGTAACAGCTACAAACAGAGGGAGTATACATCAAAACTCACTTGGCAGCAGCGAACTCCGGCAGTGACGGTAAGTTTATCTTACTTGATTAATTTTTAATTCAATCTTCTCCTATCTATTCATGTGGGTGTTCTTTCTTTTTCTATGTTGATGTTTGTTCCTTCTGGTTTGTTCTTTGATCGAAAAGAAGTCTCATCATTCGAATAAGAGTATGTTGTTAGTTGTGATCGCGCAGCTGATGATATAAGCCTATAAGGCCTAGAATAACATGTACTAATGAATAATCTTCAATGAAATGCAATTGTGTGTTGTATCAACATTTTGTATGGATTATTTCAATCAACTGCTCCTTAATCCTAAAAAAGTTCGAGGTTGACTATATGAATCTGTCCATACTGATATACTCCGTTTTATTCTGATTTACACAACTTTCCTGGCAAACAGCAGGCCTATTATAAGTTTTAGTTGCTCGGACTCTCTAAAAACAGTTGTACCTATGTCGAATCCAAAAAGTAGTACTGTGCCCGCGTGAGTTTGATCCTCAAAAGATAATACTACTTTTTGGAGGATCTTGTTGGGAAAAATCACACAAATAATATTCACAATTATCTATGTTGAATAATAATTATTGAATCTTTCAAATCATTTGTTTCTAAATTTAGGAAATAGGCAGTTGAAAAGGTTGATTTTTCTATGTTGTGTTTGTGCCATGTAGTTACTAATAATTATTGAATCTTTTTCTAGTGTTGAAAGGGTTGATTTTGCCTGCTAGGCAATTGAGGAAGCTCAACATCTAAAAAAAGTTGATACAAGCTTCTTTCATCAAAGTAGGAGATAAGGTTTGGTGTTTCTAAATTTCTTAAGTTCAAGTACAATTGTTTTTTATAATGTGTTTGTGTCCATCTAGTATTGATACTTAGACAAAATTGATTTTCTTGCAAGATCGATTTGTGTCCATCTAGTGTTGACACTTAGCTTTAAATTTAGAAATAATATATTTGTTAAGCATGAGTACCAACACTAGTTGATCCTATTGATGACAAAATTGATTTTCTTGCAAGATCGATTTGTGTCCATCTAGTGTTGCTATTAAGCTTTAATTTAGGAATAATGTGTTTGTTAAGCATAAGTACCAACACTAGTTGATCCTATTGATGACAAAATTGATTTTCTCTTGCAATTTGTGTCCATTTAGTGTTGATACTAAGCTTTATTTTAGGAATAATGTGTTTCTTAAGCATAAGTATCAACACTAGTTGATCCTATTGATGACAAAATTGATTTTCTCTTGCAATTTGTATCCATTTAGTGTTGATACTAAGCTTTAATTTAGGAATAATGTGTTTCTTAAGCATAAGTACCAACACTAGTTGATCCTATTGATGACAAAATTGATTTTCTTGCAAGATCGATTTGTGTCCATCTAGAGTTGAATATTAAACTTTAATTTAAGGTAATAAATAGTGTTTGTTAAGCATAAGTACCAACACTAGTTGATCCTATAAGGCCTAGATAACTTTGTTTGATATATTTGTTCGACATTGTGACATTGTTTTGTACTACTCTGTTTTAATCTTTATATTTAATTTGATATAGATGGTAGATAAAGACAAGGGTAAATCAAATATATCCGCTAATCCAAAAAAGAAATTTAAGGTCAATGCTATTAGAAGGCCCACTGGGGTCGTGATATCTGATGAGCCCTCTCGAGTTAATATTTCAAAACGAGCCTCAGTTTCAGCTACTCGCTCGGTACACCATTCACAAAATGCCTCTATTCATGTGGGTTGGTGTTCACATTTCTTTTAGTAGCGTTTGTTTAAAAAGATCTTTTAATGAGCTCCAATGATCACAAACAGTAATTCTGACAATTTATGAATTACTTCTCAGAATTGTAGAATTGTTAAGTAACAGTGAAATGGAGCTAAATTCAGCTAATATACACAATGGATTTACAACAGCTTAGAACAATGAAACCCAATCGATTTGCACCAATCAGCTAGAGTTTGAGTTAATCGAAGATAATTCTAGTAGAGAATGAGAAGTAGAAGTAGATAAGAACTAGAAAAGAAAAGAGAATAGGAAGATACTTCTATAGAGATTATTAAAACCTTTGCCTTTATTAAACAGTTCAAAATTGCGAAGTTGAGAATAATTAAGGTTGCAAATAATTTTTATGCGCGAAAATTTCAAGAATATATTTGGTTATTAAAATTAGATAGGTTGCAGTTACCTTTCTAATATTATTTTTTTCCATGTATTGCAGTTGTTTATCAAACCTGAACTTTGGAAGTACCAAACGCCCAACCCCTAACCTTAATTCCCTCCTTATTATCTCCATCCAGGAGCTGATAAATTCCACAAAATCTCAATGGCTTCAAAACTCTCTTCTTGTTTAGCTTCTCGTCTAGCTTCCCATTGCCTTCGTTCTGCCGTCACTGGTGCTGCCACAACCACCGCTGCTCTATCCAAATCTCACCCTTTGATTTCAGTTTTCCACCACCAATCGCAGCCATTAGTATTTCCCCATTTCAATACCAACCAAACTGTTTTCACCCTCAGATCCTTCTCTACACTCTCCCGGCCCGCACGATCTCACCTTTCAGCTCGGCCTGATATCGCAGCCAAAGCCTGGCAACTCCAAACCCGCCGTCTGTGGACCTATGCCATCACATTCAGCTGCATAGCAGGATTCATAGTAATAGTCCTTAACCAATTCCAAGACCAACTTGTATTCTATTTAACCCCTACAGATGCTCTAGCAAAACATGCTGAAAACCCTACAAGATCCAAATTTCGACTCGGTGGATTAGTACTAGAAAATAGTGTAACACCAATACCTAATTCCCCAGAAATGGAATTTGTGATAACTGATTTGATTACTGATATTTTGGTTAAATATGATGGGTCGTTACCGGATCTTTTTCGGGAAGGGCACTCCGTTGTAGTAGAAGGGTTTATAAAGCCATTTACTGAAGAGATGAAGAAGAAAGAGAATGAAATCTTGAGTGAGAAAAAGTTACAGCTTACTGAGAAGGCGAGAAGTGGGGATTGTTATTTTGCAGCTACTGAAGTGTTGGCTAAACACGATGAGAAGTATATGCCTCCTGAAGTTGCAGCTGCACTTGAGAAGAATAAGCAGTTGCTTAGTCAGATGGAAGGGAATGAGGAAGAGGGTGATGATGCAGCACCTCCAGCTAATGCGAGGGCGTAAGTCAGCCAATTATAGAGTATGGTAAAAATTCTAATTGATTATTTTCCCGAAATGGAGTTTTGTTAAATTTCAATTATGATTATACTATTGAAGGAAGTTAGAAAAATGAAGGAATATATATAGTTGGTTTACTGAGGTTATACAAAGAATTTTGTTGTTATAGATTTTATGTCCTGTACTAACCCTAAGGAATGGGGTTTCAGTTTAGAAATTTTGGAATATTTAGTGAATAAATGACAATAATTATTTTTTATGACATTGGATGCTTGTAATTCTCTGTGTACACTCAATATAGAGGTCATTGAAGAAAAAAATGGAGAATAAATCACTCCTGAGTTTCTTTATTATTGTGCAGTTTTATCATTGCTTGTACCCCATTATTGACGCCTCCCATTTTTCATTTGTTGTGTGTTGATACCTGTAATGTTAATTTTCTGTTATTTTCTTGCATGAATCTGCACATGGTCTATTTGCTTTTTAACCCATGTATTGTTGTTAAAGTTCTCTTCTGCATTACAGTATTTTCCTTCCCATACGTGATTTTATTATGCTTTACTTGAGTCGAGTGTCTATCGAAAACAACTCTACGTATGCACCATCCTCACATTGGGTATGTTGTTATTATGACTCTGCACATGGTCTACTTGCTTTATGTGGCAACAACCATACCAGCAACCTCTTTCACGGAAATAGCACTAGAAGTGTTGTGGTCGTTAACTCTTTTATTTATGTTACAGGAACAACAATGAATGTGCTTTCATATGATAGTTTAAATCCGTATGGAGTTCAGAAAGAAATAAAGACAAGACTTTTGAAACTTGTGGTCTCAAATATATATGGCATAGCATTTGTGTGGTTGTAAACCTTTTGAAAGTTGTGGCTTTAAACATGCCGCCATAACATTTGCGCAATTATAAAGCTAATTGTTTCCAAAATTTAGAAGTGTGTTGTTCTTTTTGAAACTGACTAAAAGGGAAGTTTGTCAAATAAACCGGAACGGACGGAGGGTAAAAGTTTACATCCTAGTCATGTTGTTATCATTGGTTTGAGTATCTTAAAAGTTGTAGACTCAATAGTGTTTAAAGTGAAATCTCTTAGGATTTGTTGCATCATTAATCATGTGCCATATCTGGCATGAGAATCAGAGTTTTGACAGCAACTGGCTTAACCTTTAGTGTTCATAAAACATTCTCTCTGCTCCAGTGTGCAATGTTTTCATCCTTTTAGGTGTAGGCCTAAAGAGATACACCCTTTGTACACCCATGCCCCTACCCCTCGGTAATTCAGAAGAAGATCAGGACTTAGATCAAATGGACAGAGTTCCTTGAGATCTGTCCTCAGCCAAAGTGTAGATAAAGGAAAAAGGAAGCTACTACTGACCTTTATAGTTCTAAAGGGAAGGAGAGTATGAAGGTAGGAACCAAACTTTTCTAAACTCAACTCATGTACCACTTGAATTGTTAAATGACCGAACACTTGGGAGCTACTGTACATGTCTTGTGACATGCTCCCGTCTGACATTTTTTTGTAGAAAGTCCGTATAACTTCAAAAGAATCATAATACATTTGGCACAGTTGTGAATACCTATCTATTAATGATATACTAAAACTGCTATAGCTTCATACTTTGCATACAATCTAGCTAGTGTGATGAGCTTCTTATAGGAAAAACCAAATGCTATTCATTTTGATGGTTAATATTATTACCATTTGTTCGAAAAAAGGGTAAACAAATGTTCTATTACCCCCACTATATTGTAATTCAATTTGTGTTGTTAGCCACATGACTTTGTTGATGCTTTAGATTCAAGCCACCGGACTTGGTTCAAGCAACTAAGGTTGATGGACTTGTGACTTAGGTCATGGGTTCAAGTCCAGCGTCATAAGAACTAGGCCTAGTATTTAAGTGGAGGATGGTAGAGATGTGTGTGCCCCCAGGATCTCCGAGTTTTGAGGGTTGCAGCTGGTCCTAAAGGTTAGCCCCAGACAGATTTCTCGGTCATCCAAAAAAACAAATTCAAGCCTTCCTCAAATGCATTCAAGCACATTTTCTGTCCTTTATTTTTATGAAAATTTGATTTTTGGTGGATAGAGGAAATTGAAATGAGATAAACTAAAAGAGCCAAAAACTCCAAGACAAATTCCAAAAACTATTGCCACATGGTCTACAATCACAACCAATCTTTATATGTTGTCTCATTTACTAACTTCTTTTCCCTTTGTCTCCAGTTTTGGTTTGCATTGTTTGGGGTTTAGGAGCATGAGATGAAACATTGATATGACGTAAAATTTGTGATTGTCATTTTTCTACACCAAACTTCTTCTAGTTTTCCAAGATTGATAACTTTTTTACTTTGAGAACAATCTAGTTATATCATCCTTTAGAGCTGGATATGGATTTGTTTATATATATAACCAACAAGGGTGGTGGTGGGATGCATAAGATCCATCCACCCTTAATCAGAGATACCTCTCAAGTTTGAGCCATGGGGTGTGAAACTAAATCTTGTGTAAAGGAGCGCTTCCCCCTTAAATGTTTACGATGCGCGGATCCAAATTAATTGGAATTCCAGTGGATGTCAAACATTGAGTGGGAAACAAAAAACGGAGTATAATTCTATCACATGGTGTATTTATGAGTTGTTATTTTAGAAATTAATACCAAAAGAAGCACAAATAAACTTGTTGCGACGCTGAGATTCAGCCCTAGTTGCTTCAATTAGTTTCAATACATGATGGGGTATTGTAAGTGACAGGTTGAACTTACTACTAAGATTCAACCCTTGGTAATATGAGATGGAGAGTCAGAAGTAAGATATTCTGGAACAAGTGCTTTAAGGTTCTTTGTTGGAGAAGTAAGTTTTATTCAACTATATAGTATATACTTAATCATTAAAAATTGTATAACACAATATTTGTCCATGTTATAATGCAATACTACAAGATCATGAATATTTAGTGTGTTTGGATAATGTTGGTGCAGATATATTATCCTCAAGAAAATATTTTTTGCTTTGTATCTCCCAAAATCTAGACATTACACTACATACTCCACTACTGAAATGGTACTGTTGCTGCTGCAGATATCTTCTTTTTCCAGTTCAGAAGTACATGCACATCTATTGTTAAAGAATTTTAATTATTTTTTTGAATAAGATAATGAACATTAATAATAAACCACAAAATGAAGGGTCCAATTGATTCTTAATGTTCACTTTTTCTATCTTGAGAATGACCTATATAATATGAATGTAGACATTGTTTTACCAGTTGATTTGATTGTTCCTATTTGGTTTCTTATGTTCTTTACATCACATTTTTTAGGAATAGTGGTCATATAGTTCATATAAGTCGTGGCGGAGACAATTTTTTTAATGAGGGAGTTTAAATATGAAGAAGCTATAGGAATTAAATATCTACTATATATACAAAAAAGTAAGTTTAATCTTGAATATACAAGGTTAGTTAGGTAGTTGAGAACTATCTCGCTTAGTCGTAGTATTATTGTAGGAATTTCTCTATGATATACTTGTTTTTCCTAGACCTTTTAGAAATTCATGGAATAATCCAAGCTTTACAGCGACATAAGGATGTAAAACTTTATTTCTTAATTGAAACTAAAAGAAATAAGGATGAACATAACTACACATGCAGTACATGAGACATGCTTTCATTTATACAATAATATATTTGATTCTTAGAGCAACTGAATCAAAAATAGGATAAGGTCTTTGTTGTATTGCATGGTTACATCAGGCTGATTGTCTTTTTTGTACCCCTGCATAATTTGAATTTGGCCTTTCATTCAACAATATCTTAGCTTTTTAGCACAAGTGAATTCAATGACCAGGAAGAGCGACTTTATTACCGAATATTTGCTTCAGCAGCAACAAATCTGGCTCTAAGAAAATGGTACTTTCTATACTGTACATACTATGAGACAACAATGAAATCAAAATTGAAGAAGAGTGTCAACAACAATATTCTTCAGCACTTAAAAACGCCTTCAATAAGAAGGATATGACTTATTGTGTTTAATATTCTGCTCTAATGAAACATGGTGAAGAACATGCTAACATTTTGTAACATTCATATTTGCGCAAAATATATGTAGCTCATAAACCACTAATTGTGCTGGAATAGAAACACTAGTAGTTATTGTAGTCTAAGGTTGTATATTTTTAATGCTGAAAAATCATAATTCCTTTGGAAGTTAGAGCCCAACTTTTCTCTATTCATTAAAATGAATAAAGGACCTACTAAGTCGAGAGAATAAAAAAAAAGACACATTTTTAGTATAGTAAATTGAAGTGTGAATAAAAGCTCGTTATTTTCATGATTTTTTTTTTATACATTTCACCTAATAAAGCTATTATGTAGTCATGTAAATTCAGATATGATAAAGTAGTACAAGAACTCAAAAGTAACATTGGAATGTTAGAATAGTTTTCTATAGGTGAACAAAACTAAGTCACAAAATTATTGAAACAATTGATCATCAAATGCAAACAAGCAAATAGTAATACCTGTATTTACTTCTGGGAGATTGACAAGACATACAATATTCATTTTTCAGAGTCCAGCTTTAACAAAATCATGATCTAACAAACTTCAAGCTTTAAAAGGAGAACTCTAGTAGTTTAATCAATTCGCCGGAAGATACTGAATTTTTTATACGAAAAAAGATTTTCGTAGGGAAAAAATAATTTCTTTTCAAACACTTGCGGCAGAAATACTTTTACCTAAAAATCTAACAAAACTCAATTTTTATCTAAAAAGATCTTTTATCACATACAAAAATGGGGGAAAACAAATTCAAGCTTCAAGTAGTATCACCCATATGCCATATTAAACACAGTTTCATTGACAATGATTTTCTGATAAGAAGATTCACATAAAAAAAAAGAAGGTAAGAAGACCAAATGGAAAGGAAATAAAACAAAATTTTAAATGCAAGTTTAAACTAATATCTTAGACCACAAGTGCAACAGAAAGTATATTTATACTATAGAGAAATCTAGAGGTAGGCAATTTCCAAAGGAGTAAGCGGAACACTTGTATAGAATGGAGATTAAAGAGAACAATAAAAATTGTGCAGGGAGAAAAGCAGAAGAAAGAAAGAATAATTGAGAAGCTTATGAGTCAACAACATATAGAAAATAGATTAAGTGAAGAATAGCAATGAAAATCACTTTTTTCCCTTGGTCGTTCTTACTGACCAGAACGGTCAGATACCGAATGACTATTACTCGAGAA